CGACGTGTAGCCAAGCCTCTTTCAGCTCGTCCCGCGTCAACGAGAAGCCGAAGGTCTGCCCGAATCTCGGTGTCTTCAAGCCGTCCACCACCACCGACCTTGTCTCCACGTCACCGGACTCGGCCGAGCCGACAAGCAGTCTCAGACAGACCAGACAGTGGCCGGGCCAAGCGGCGATACCGGTCACTTGGTTCACCGTCACCTCGAGACGACTCGTCAGGCTCTGGCGGTAGGCGAGTGAGAGGCTGACTTGTTCGTTGTCATGGAGACCGACCGATCCGACTGAGACGAACTGATGCAGATCGGAGATTCGACGCAGCAACGGCGCCAACAGTTGGTCGACTAGACAAAATGGATCCGAACGGCGACTCGCCGTCAGCTCGACATCCTCGCCGCGACCCAATGGGCTTGTATACCTTCGTTTAGAGCCGGCTTTCGCCGCCAACAGCGACGGTATCAATGACGGCGACCGTGACGGCGACGGCGACGGCGACGGCGAGGGTGATGGAGACGGCGAAGGCGACGGCGAGGGCGAGGGCAACAGCGGTCTCGAGTCGGCCCGACCGGGTGAGTCAGGCAAGGCGCAGGAGTCGAGGCTGGCCGCCTCCGCGGATGCCGAAACCCTCTCGACTCGGTCGGTCCCGTATGACTTGACCTGCTCTTGTCCTCCGGTCAAATGTTGGCGCCGTCTTCGAGGCAGCAGAATGACGAACAGCCAACAGATGATGGCCGCCACGAGGCAACAGCACACGCCCAGTCCCCCGAGAAGGAGGGCAATATGGGACACAAACGGGTCAGCCGAGGCGGTGGGGAGGCGTCCGGCTTGCGAACTGTTGCTGGGCTCCAGGTCCTGAGACTCGTACCCCTCCGGCATGACGAGGCCGTTGCTGCTGTGGACTAACAAACAAACGCACCCATTACGTGGCCGTCAAGAACCAGCTCTTTATTCTAACTATCGTCACCTTCTCTGTGTGTGTGTGTGTGTGTGTGTGTGTGTGTGTGTGTGTGTGTGTGTGT